TCTTGAATCTAAGGAATTTTGGAAAATTAACACCAATGTATCTCGTGGTTCATTAACAACCTTTTTTAAGACCCAAGAATGAAGTCAATGGAATGGGAGACTTGTCAGCTGACAGCTCCATCTGTTTGTTTAGTACTTCCCTTATGATTGTGATTCTACTAAATTTCTCTCTCCCTTCCATCTCTGGTTTACAACTATTAATGGATTTTTTTATCTTCCCTGCTATCTAGGCATGCCTTAACTTTGAAGTCATTAATTAATCCTGTCACATTACACAATACAAAGTCTAATATGACCTGCTCTCTGGTCAGTTCCAAAAGGTGCTATTCTAAGAAACTACCTGGAAAACATTCTATGAACTCCTCATCAAGGCTGCTAGTGCCAATCTAATTTTTCTAGTTTATATGTAGATTAAGGCTACCTATGATTATTGCCATTCATTTATGACAAGCACTCAACATTTATTTTTGTGTACTTTGTACCTCATTGTGGTTACTGTTAGGGAGTTTATGGGGTAGTATATTTGAACTTTAAGAAAGTGTTTGATAAAGTCCCACATAAGAGACTATTGTACAAGATTAAAGCGCACGGGATTGGGGAAGTGTATTGAGATGGATAGAAAACTAGTTGGCAGAGGGGAAACAAAGAGTAAGAATTAATGGGTCCTTTTCAAATTGGCAGGCAGTAACCAGTGGGGTGCCACAGAGATCAATACTGGGACCCCAGCTATTCACAATATATATTAATGACTTAGATGAGGGAACAAAATGTAACATCTCAAAGTTTTCAGATGATGCCAAGTTGGGTGGGAGAGTGAATTGTGACGAGGACGCAGAGATCCTTCAGCATGATCTGGGTAGGTTGTGTGAGTGGGCAAATCAATGGCAGATGCAATGTAATTTGGATAAATGTGAGGTTATGCAATTTGGAAGCAAAAACAAGAAGGCAGATTACCACCTGACTGGCTGTAAATTGGGAGAGGGGAGTGTGCAGCGGGACCTGGATGTCCTTGTGCACCAGTCGCTGAAGGTAAGCATGCAGGTGCCGCAGGTGGTAAAGAAGACAAATGGTATGTTGGCCTTCATTGCAAGAGGTTTCGACTACAGGAGCAGGGATGTGTAGTTGCAGGTATACAGGTTCTTGGTGAGGCCACATCTAGAATATTGTGTGCAGTTTGGTCTCCTTTTCTGGGGAAGGATGTCCTTGCTATTGAGGGAGTGCAACGAAGGTTTACCAGGCTTGTTCCAAGAATGGTGAGACTGATGTAGGATTGTTTTCGCTGGAGTTCAGACGAATGGGGGGGATCTCAGAGAGGCTTATAAAATTCAAACAGGACAGGGCAGGGTAGATGCAGGGAGGATGTTCCCGATGGTGGGTGTGTCCAGAACCAGGGGTCACAATCTGAGGATTCGGGGTAGACCATTTAGGACAGAGAAAGGAGACATTTCTTCACCCAAAGAGTGGTGAGCCTGTGGAATTCATTACCAATGATGCCAAAACATTGAATGTATTCAAGAGGCAGCTAGATATAGCACTGGGGGCGAATGGGATCAAAGGTTATGGGGGGAAAGCAGGATTAGGCTATTGTGGAGCAGGTGGAGCAGGCTCAAAGGGCCGAATAACCTCCTCCTGCTCCCATCTTCTATGTTTCTATGACCATTCCCACTTGTGAATTTCCCCTTCTATTCTCCATCTCTGCCCAAACTGATTCAATGTTTTTGGAATAGATTTGTAGCTTGGGTTGTGGGTATTGAGGTTGGTTGGCTCGCCGAGCTGGTTTGTTGTTCTGCAGACGTCCTGATCTCTTGAACCAAGATTATCTCTAACTGTTGCACAAATGGCATGCTTGATTAACAGTACTACTCCCCACCTCTACCTAGTTTTCTATTTTTCTTGAATGACATATAATATAATGTGATAAATATACCCCTTAACATTTAGGATCAAATCCTTGTCAACCCGAAGCCATGTCTTTGTAATGGCTATCAGGTTATATTTATTTGCTTCAATGTGCACTATCGGTTCATTTATTTTGTTATGAACACTGAAAGCATTCAGATTCTTGACTTTTACTATTGACCTTTTGTTATCTTTGTAACATCTTGTCCTGATTGCTGGTGTATTTCTCGTTTTTTTTCTCTCTGCCCTTGCTGACATTCGCTGACCTTCCTTTCCCATATTACTATTTTCCTCACTTACCTTGTACATTTTCTTTTGATATACCACATCTTTCTACATTTGGTCCTTGCCCCCACTATTTAGTTTTAAACTTGCTCTACTTATGTAATTGGCAAGTATATACAAGTATGGTTCAGGTGTAGACAGTTCTAACAGTACAAGTCCCACTTTCTCTAGTACTGGGGCCACTGGCCCATGAACAGAAATCCACTTCTCCCACACCAGTCTTCAAGCAACGTATTCATCTCTTTAACTTTATATGCACCATACCAGTTTGCATACAGATCAAGTAATAATCCTGAGATTGCAACCTTGAGGGTCTGGTTTATAATTTAGTGCCTATTTCCTCATACTCTCTATGCAGATCCTCTTTCTACCTATTAGCACATACATGGAACATGATTAATGAATTCCGTGTCCCCAACCCCCGCAACTGCAAGTTCTTTTCCATCCTGAGCAGATGCCCCTAGTCCTAGAACTGGGCACGCAACACAACCAACTAGGCTGTCAGTCTTTGCTGCAGACAACTGCGTCAATCCCTCTCACTATACAATTACCTACTACTACAATTACGAGCGACAACAACAATAACAAAAACAGGTATTGCTGGAAAAGTTCACCAGATCAGGCAGCGGCTGTGAGAGAAATCAGAGTTAACATTTTGCATCCAGTGACCCTTCCTTGGAATTACGTTGTGACATCCCTCGTTGCTCCCCACTTATGTGGCTTACTGCAGCAAGGTTCCATGTACAGTTTGTTCATCCATCTTGCAGTCCCTGCTCTCATCCAAACAGACCTCAAACCTAGTGGACAATTGCAAAGGCTGATACTCCTGCGTTACTACCCTCTGGGACTCCTTACCAGCTTCATTCACAGTCACACCCTCCTGTTAGTGATCACTAACCAAATCTGAAGATCCTATCCCAAAAGTGTGACTGCCTTCGTACAAAGAATCCAGGTAACTTTCTCCCCTGCCTGATAAATTGCAGTGTTTATAGTTCAGAGCTCATGAACTCTGAGCTGAAACTGCTTGAATTTGAAACACTTACTGAAGACATGTTTGCCCTGAATCACAATGGTATCCAAGAGCTTCTATGTGCTGTAGTTTTGATGCTTCACCTGAACTGCCATGCTTAATGAGTCTTAATTATTTAATTGTAATGTTCACTTACTTCTATTGCATTTTCTATATTTTGTTAATTTTACCACTAATTGGCTTACTATGTTAAAATGTAACAGTGGAAACCCTTTAATCACTTACTATATGCTCACCAAATACTACCTCCTTTCTTTGTAGTACAACAAGAACAATTCCAGTTAGTTCCAATGAATGTTGTTTGGCTTGTGGAGAGATGATTTACTGCATAATGAAGATGATAGAAGCAATGTTAATGAGTTTATCTTATTCTAATACACAGTGCCAGTGATTTATATGTTACTGTGATTTGCTTAGTGTTTTTGTAGTACTATTGCGTTTTGATTGTGGCAGTGCCTAGTTATCCATTTTCTCCTAGTTGACAGAATAGCATTGATAGACAGTCAAATGACCAACAGCAGGAGACATTGATGATATTTCAGAATCTGTGACTAACCTTGGTTTACCTGCATCAGTGGCAACTACTAGTCATGCAAAGCTGTGATTAGTCAGGTGTGTTGCCGACATGAGTGTCACTAGCTGCTCTTGTACTGGTCCCTTTTTGCCATTAATGATGGCAATTTCCTCATGGTGTTCACTTTTTATGTGAACATACGGGAGGCATTGCAAAACAGCTCATTTCTTTCTGCAAGCATAATTGAGTAAGTTGAAGCTGGCTACAAGTACATCTGGAGGTGAATGCCAAAATCTCTGGAGTGGTACTGAGTGCCTTCAGAAGCGATGAATTTCTTTAAGGCCTGTGTCAGTAACGACCATTGCAGATTCTAATGATGTTGTCACTATTTAGAGACAGATAATCATTACTGTCTGACGTTTTAAATGAAAAACCAGCAAATAACAATTCATCCACTCTTTCACTGTTGTGTACAAGAAGGAAGGTAACCCAGCAATATGGTACTGTAACAGCCTACATGTGAAAGTGGCTCCATTTATTTCTAGGCTCAGTCAATCAGTGTGGTTACTAAGCTTTGGTCTCTGCCAGAGTTGTCCAAACATCAATTACTACACATGCTATCTCTTCTTCACCAATATACTGATTATTTATCCTCTGTTTTTTGATCAATATCATTGCTGCTTATATTACAGTGTATGCACCTTTGCATGTGCCTTCCTGTTAATTGGTGTCTTCAAAGTCAAAAGCTTTTAAGGGTTTAGCACATAATCCAGATCTTCAGTGCAATTTTGAGGGAAAGCTGCATTATGTGAAAATGTCAAATCAAGACTGTTGCATTGCACCTTAAAAGAGCCATTTAAAGAACAGAGTGTCTTCCTGCTGTCTTGAATAACCTTCCTCCGTCAACCAACACCATGTTAATGGTTGTTTGCCTTATTGAATTTCAGGGGATGTTCAAGTCTGTGTGGGTTGAATTTGCATCAAGCTATGTCTACCTTTACTAACCTATTAGGTACCTTGGGTGAGCACTATTGAATTTTTAATAAAATACATAAGCTAAATGTTAATATAAATAAAAATACAAAATGCTGGAGGTACCCAGCAGGTCTGGCAGCATTGCAGAGAAACAATATTACGTTTCAGGTTTATGATCTTTCTTCTGAACTTTTACCATAGATGTTAAGCATGTATTTTGTGCAGGAAAATTACACCTTAATTTTCTTGATTTCCCTCTACTGGTCTTCAAAACTTGTTCAAATTCTTTTCTTATAGATGGGTTTTTGCATATTGTCTTGACACACGCTGGATCTCAGCAAGCAGCATCAACATGGATCTCCTGAAAGGGTAGAGTACAACAATACATTGTTTGAAAAACCTACATTGTGCCAGATATCCATGGTGAAAATGTGGAGGATTGCCCTTTTTTGTTCTGCAGAAGAGGCAAAGCTTTTGTTTCGTTTGCTAGTGTACCCTTCTCTAGCTCTCTTAGAGACACTACATGTGAAATTGTATTATCTAGAATCAATGGCTCTCCTCTGTACTTCACATCCCAAGAGTCATTCTTGATGTGTGATTTTCATCTGTTCTCATGCTTTTCATTTATGGGAAACCTGGGAATCTGTGGCCAATTTTAATGCCCTGCAACTCAGCACAATTGGGGATCAAATCTGGAACATTTTTGATATATATAACTTAGTACAGAGTATAAGGCATAGAATATAAAAGGAAAGAAATGATGCTACACCTCTACAAATCATTGGTCAGATCACATTTGGAGTATTGTATTCAGTTCTGGGTACCTTATTTAAGGAATGATGCTAAAGCCCTGGCGTGAGTGGAAAGGAGATTTACTAGAATGAAACCAGGAATGAGGGATTTTAGAAATAAGGAACAGTTAGAGAAATTGGGCTTATTCTTCTAGGAACAGAGAAGATTAAGAGGTGACCTATTGTGGTGTTCAAAATTCTGAACAATTTTGACAGGACAAAGAAAGATGTTCTGTTTCTACAGGTTGGTATGTCAGTAACTAAGAGTCACAATTTCAAGATTGTCAGCATGAGAGCTAGGAGTGAGATGGGGAGAAATTTCACTACTTAGAGAGTTGTTAGAAATTGGAATACGCTGCCTGGGGGAGTGATGGAGGTGGATTCCATTCGAGATTTCAAAAGAGAGCTGAATATATATTTGAAAATAGTGAAGTTAGAGGGCTACAGAGATAGGGCTGGAGAATGGAGCTAGCTGGGTAACTCTTTTGGGAGCCAGTGCAGAGTCAAGAGTTGAACTGTAAAATTCAAGTAATTCATGTTTCTAGTATTAAGTTAGACATTGCATTTATCCCTGAGCCTTAAAATAATTTTATGTTGTTAGGATCTGTGAAGGTAATGCTGTGATCCTAATGAAGAAATTGTGCTAATGGCAGCTAGGTTGGGAGAATGCCTCCTATGTTTGTTTCATGTATTAATTAACTCTGGCTTGTACACATACTGTAGTTCTTTAATCATTGCTAGGTCAAAATTCCAAACTTCCCCACTTTCATGCATCATAAGACTATTCCATCAAAAAGATTGAAGTGATTCAGAAGAAGCCCCACATGAGCCATTACAGTTTGTGTTGGGCCACAAATATGGTCTGCTAGTTTTGCTCAAGTTCCAAGAAGTTGTCTTAAAAAAGAACCAAGCCAACAGCACATCAGTCGCAAATACCTGCATGTTCATGAATTCACTTCTTGTGTCAACAACAATGTTTTATTTCGATACAGTCCAGAGATATCAACATTGTAAAAATTAGAAAAATTAGCAAAAATTAGAATATCGAAGATATCATTGTATGTGTACCAATTTTTATACCATACATCTGGGATCATCAATTGATGCTTGATGATGTATTTGTGGTACTAGGGATGCTAAGTCTGGTTTCATCTGAGAGGTTGCATTACTAAATACCCTGTCTCCAACTATCCCACTCCCATATTTAATTATCCAAGCAGATTAGTTTTTGTTTCGTCCCTGGGGACTGATTAACTCAGATTACTAGACAGTTGGTCTGCAATGCAGATAGACGCCAGCAGTGTGGATTCAGTTGCTATTCCAGATGAGGTCATCATGAAGGTCCACCTTCTCAACCTCATTCCTTGCTTGACACATAGTGATGCTCAGCTTAAACTCACTACCAGTCATCTTGCTGTAATGAGAGAGCAGCCATGGTCTTCTAGGACTGTTGTCACTTCCATGATAAGCTAAATGCTTCTAGGTAGAATCTATACATACAGTTTTAACTCAGAGTTTGATTGCAAACAACCAAATGCAAAAAAGCCACCAACCTTCCTGACTGACTCTTCGTTATATACATTTCAATAGATGTTCTTAATCCTTTAAAAAGAATTGGCCTTTATTGTCACTTATACTCAATGAGTATAGTGAAAAGTTTATATGTCGCCACTTACACTGCAAACTTAGGTTCAGAGGTATCTTAGGTACAGCTTATTTAGTTACAAGATCTTAGACAATACAGGAATGAAATGTCCACAATGCAGAAATAAAATGTCAGAACAATAGACCATGCTGGGTCCTAGCTTCCAGTCGGCATTGGGCCCTGTCTCCAAAGCTTCACCTTGAGGATCATGAGGCTGGGAGATTGCTTCAGACCGCCATGCTGGGTGGAGGATGCCATGTCGGGAGGCTGCTACAATATGCGGGGAGGCTGCTGTGCCAGGCTGGGAGGTCCCCATGCCATACCAGGAAGCTGCTATCCAGACATGTCATGACACACCTCTGGAGCAGGTGGGACTTAAACACAGGCCTCCTGACTCAGAGGTAGGGGCATTACCACTACACCACAAGAACACGTTATATACATTTTAATATAATTAGCTAATTAGTCCATAAAATCTTTGCCTTATGACCTTTAACTTTTAGGTATTTATCATCCTATTAAGAGAATTACATACTAACTTAGACAAGCAAAATCCTGGCAGTCATACTCATGGAATGATACCTTATTGACAATGTCCCAGACATTATCATTACCACCTCTAGGTATTGTCAGTCCCACCAATAGGACACACAGGCCAAAGATGGCAGCACAGTGGTACAGAATTAGGAAGGAGTTGCCCTGGGAATCTTTTAACATTGACTCTGGACCCCATGAAGTCTCATGACATCATATGAAACATGGGCAAAGAGAACTCCTGCTAATAACTATCTACCACTTCACTTCAGCTGATGAATCTACTTTTCCATGTTGAACACCAATTGGACGAAGCACTGAAGGTGTCATGGGCACAGAACATACTCTGTGAAGGGGACTTCAATGTCCACATCAATAGTGGCTCGGTAATAGCCAAGCTGGCCCAATTCTAGACTGGGCTGTGTCGAGTGATGATGGAACCAACAGGTGGGAAAAATCTACTTGACCTCATCCACACCAATTTACCTGACACAGATGCATTTGTTCACGATGGTATTGATAGGAGTGATCACCATACAGTCCTTGAGGACATGAAGTTCTGTCTTCACATGAAGGATACTGTCCATCATGCTGTGTGGCACTAAATCGGATAAACTTCAAATTAGTATTTCTAAACTGGGCATTCATGAAATGCTGTGGTCATTGGCAGCAGCAGAATTTATTCAACCACTCCTGTAAGCTCACGGCCTGACATATCCTCCACTGTACAATTGTCATCAAGTCAGGTGATCAACCCTGATTAAATGAAGAGTGCAGGAGTGCAAGCTAGAAGCAGGACAGGCATACCTAAGTATGAGGTGTCAACCTGGTGGAGCTACAGTACATGACAAGTTGTATGCCAAACAGCAGAACGAACATGCAATAGACAGAGCTCAACAATCCCCACAACCAATGAATTGGACCTAACTTTTGTGGTCCTGCCCCATCATGAGTGGTGGTAGACAATTAACCAGCAAGCAGGAGGATGAGTCTCCACAAATACCCATAGTCTTGAATCTACATTCAGCCAGAAGAACCAGGTGGAAGATTTATTTTGGCCTCCTCTGAGGCCTTCAGCACCATAGATGTCTGCCTTCAACCATTTTGTTTCTCTCCACATGACATCAAAATGTGTTTGAGGGTATTGGATATGCAATTTAAATAGTACTGAAGACATGTATTCTAGAACTAGCCATCCCCTAGACAAACTGTTACAGTGCAGCTGGAGCACTGTCATCTATTTGACAATTTAAAAAATTGCCTAAATATGTACTGTGAACAAAATGTAGGACAAATCTGACCCAGCTAATTACTGCCTTATCAGTCTACTCTCAATCATCAGCAAAATGATGGAGGGGGTTGTTGGCAGTGCTATCAAGTGACACGTGTAAAAGAATAACCTTGATGCTCAGTTTAAGCTCTGCCCGGGCCACTTGTCTCCTGACCTCTTTGCAGCCTCGGCCTAAACAAGGACAGAGAGCTGAACTCCAGAGGTGAGGTGATATTGACTGGCCTTGACATCGACGTAACATTTGACTGAATAAAGCATCAAAGAACCCTAGTGAAGCTGGAGTCAATAGGAATCAGAGGGAAAACTCTCTACTGGTTGGAGCCATACTTAACACAAAGTATGATCGTTGTAGTTGTTGGAAGTGAATCATCTCTGCAATAGGATATCAGTGTTGGACTTCTTCAGGAGTTTTAGGTCCAACCATATTTAACATCATTGTCCTTCCCTTTGTATTAATGTCAGGAGTATTGCTGTTGCCGATGTCAACACCATTCATGATACTCATATACAAAATAGTGCATACCTCTATGCAGCAAGACCTGGTTTGGTCTCATAAATGGCAAGTTATGGCAGACCTCTGGAGCAGGTGGGGTTTAAACCCAGACTACACAAGACCAGGCACTGACTATTTCTGAAAAGGGAGAATTTATATTGCCTCTTGATGTTCAGTGGCATTATCATCGCTGAATACCCTACTCTCAACATTTTGGAGTTTACCATTGACCAGAAACTGAACTGGACAGCCATTATGATACTGACTACAAGAACAGATAAGAGGCTAGGAACGCTGTGGTGAGCGACTCATCTCCTGACTTCCTAGTGCTTGCCCACAATCTGGAAGGTACATATTAGGAGTGTGAAAGAATACTCTCCGCTTGCCCAGATGAGTGCATCTCCAACAAAACTCAAGAAGATTAACACCATCCAGAAAAAGACAGCTTGATTAGCACTCATTTATCACCTTCAAGATTCACTGTCTTCATCACAATGCTGTATGTGTACCACCTAGAAGATGCACTGGAGTAAATCACTAAGCTCCTCTGACAACAACTTGCAGATCCATGACCTAAATAGAGTCCCTACAGTGTGCAAGCAGGCCATTCGGCTC